GAAAGATTGACGGCAGGAGGAGAAGGGGATGACAGAGGACGAGATGGTTGGATGGCATCACCAATTCAATGGACATGAGTTTGAGCAAGCTCTGGGAGTTGGTGAAGGACAGGGAAGCCTGGCGTGCCACAGTTCATAGGGTCTCAGACAGTCAGACACGACTGAGCGACTGAACAGCAGCAACAACTGAGGCCTTAAGTGGCATTGAGATTGGCTCTTGAAAAGATTATAATTCTTCAACTAAAGGGGCATAAATTTGCAAAGGCAATTCCCAAGAAAAGTCTTCTGCAGAGTAAATATTTGAAATCCAGGGTGTTTTCTGTCTTAAATATGACCTTCAGAAACTCTTCTAGAACATCTTATATGCAACTGAAAAAAGTGAAATACTTTTAAAATTTGAAATAAAAGAAATTTTTAAAAGTGATTTCTAATATCAGATACTCCATTTAAAATAAAACAGCTTCTGTGCCTTTTCAGAAGTCCAATGAAAATTTTTGCAAGTAATACTACCAGATTTCTTCCTTACAAATGGGCTTCTAGTGTAGAGGGATTTCCAGGTAAATTGACAGTAGAGACTTTCTAGTTTGCATGCAATTGATTGTTCAAAGTCTAGACTCATATTGAATAGCAAAATATGTCTGCAGTTTGCATGACCTTATATGTCACAAAGAGACCCTAACTGAAATGAAGATTTTTCTGCATACTTTAAAAACCGCTCTAGAAAACAAGGAGCTGATGTAGGAAAGTGATATTACTACCTGAAAGATGATCTTCTGGGCTTGATACTCCTGTTTTCTCTTGCAGTTCAGGACTTATGAAGAGTAGCTCTTCGTATGGTTGTCCTTGAGTCCTTTCTTCCTGTGGAGGGATTTCAGTATGCTCAAAGAAAATAGATTCCCTAGATGTTTTACTTTCTCCTACAATACTACCTTTACTCAATTGTGAAGTGAAGTCTGTGTCCTGTTGTTCTTCTGGAATTGTTTCTCTGGGTGATTGTGGTTCTGCAGTTGACCTTCTGTGTGGTTCTTGTTCTACTCCCGACTCCCTGCCTTCTTCTTGCTCTGCAGTTGACCCATTGTGTGGTCCTTGATCTGACTGTGATTCTCCGTGTGCTTCCTGTTCTGCCACTGTCTCTCTGGGTTGCTCAAGATCTGATCGTGACTCTCTGCGTGATCCCTGTTCCTCAGTTGACTTTCCATGTGATCCTTGTCCTGCTGTTGACCCTTTATGTCGTCCTTCTGTTGTAACCGATCCTTCGGAAAGTCCTTGTTCTGCTGTTGATTCGATGTGGGTTCCTTGTACTCCTTGTTCTGTTATTGGCTCACGATGTGGTCTTTGTTCTGTTATTAACTCTCTACTTGGTCTTTGTTCTGGAGTTGACCCTGTGTAGGTTCCTTCTTTTGATACTGATTCTTTGTTCAGTTCTTGTTCTCCAGTTGACTCTTCAGGTTGTTCTTGTTCTCTGGTTGAAATTCCATTTGGTCCTTGTTCCACAGTTGCCCCTCTCTGCTGTTCTGGTGGGCTTTGTGGTAGTGATGATTCTCTATAGTGTTCACGTTGATCTTCTGGGCTTGCTGATAATTTACTTTGGGTTTTGCCAACATGTTTTTCAGAAGGTATTGTGTTCATCTCTAAGAGAACATTGTCAAAGTCTTCATAAATGTGTTTCTGATTATCCATGTCTCCCCAGAACTCAGGTAAGTCTATCTCTCCAAATTCAACAAATGGCCCTAACACAGAAAACAAAACATTTACCTAAACAGTTGATCTATAATGTAGAATCAGAGCTAATAACTTAATGCAAAAAAGCAGTAGGCACAGTAATGGTGCCCACAGAACTATTGCTTTAAATGAATATCAATTACATTTCCCAGCAACCCAATAAAAAACAAAAAGGTATCTAAAGGAACATAAAAGATGCTCACTACTGGAAATTAGAAATAATCCCTTCCTAAAATGTATGGAAATGAACATGATTTCTTCTGTTGATGCTTGAAGAGTAGCTTAGACTTTCAAGGCAAACAGAATTTATCCTCTCCTCTTAGTCCTCCCACAATAAGCATAGCATAGGGCTGAGGAAAGAGCAAATGTCTTCCACCTCAAACCCTGCCATTTTTGACAACACAGGAAGGTATTATGCTAAGTCAAATAAGGCAGACAGAGAAAGACAAATACCACATGATCTAATTTACATCTTTAAAACAAACAAATAAAACAAAACAAAAATAGACTCATAGTTACAGAGAACAAATGGGTGGTTGCTAGAAGGGAGGGGGTTTGAGGTATGAGTGAAACAGTTGAAGGGAATTAAGACATGCAAACCTCAGTACTCCTTGTTCTGTTATTGGCTCACGATGTGGTCTTTGTTCTGTTATTAACTCTCTACTTGGTCTTTGTTCTGGAGTTGACCCTGTGTAGGTTCCTTCTTTTGATACTGATTCTTTGTTCAGTTCTTGTTCTCCAGTTGACTCTTCAGGTTGTTCTTGTTCTCTGGTTGAAATTCCATTTGGTCCTTGTTCCACAGTTGCCCCTCTCTGCTGTTCTGGTGGGCTTTGTGGTAGTGATGATTCTCTATAGTGTTCACGTTGATCTTCTGGGCTTGCTGATAATTTACTTTGGGTTTTGCCAACATGTTTTTCAGAAGGTATTGTGTTCATCTCTAAGAGAACATTGTCAAAGTCTTCATAAATGTGTTTCTGATTATCCATGTCTCCCCAGAACTCAGGTAAGTCTATCTCTCCAAATTCAACAAATGGCCCTAACACAGAAAATAAAACATTTACCTAAACAGTTGATCTATAATGTAGAATCAGAGCTAATAACTTAATGCAAAAAAGCAGTAGGCACAGTAATGGTGCCCACAGAACTATTGCTTTAAATGAATATCAATTACATTTCCCAGCAACCCAATAAAAAACAAAAAGGTATCTAAAGGAACATAAAAGATGCTCACTACTGGAAATTAGAAATAATCCCTTCCTAAAATGTATGGAAATGAACATGATTTCTTCTGTTGATGCTTGAAGAGTAGCTTAGACTTTCAAGGCAAACAGAATTTATCCTCTCCTCTTAGTCCTCCCACAATAAGCATAGCATAGGGCTGAGGAAAGAGCAAATGTCTTTCACCTCAAACCCTGCCATTTTTGACAACACAGGAAGGTATTATGCTAAGTCAAATAAGGCAGACAGAGAAAGACAAATACCACATGATCTAATTTACATCTTTAAAACAAACAAATAAAACAAAACAAAAATAGACTCATAGTTACAGAGAACAAATGGGTGGTTGCTAGAAGGGAGGGGGTTTGAGGTATGAGTGAAACAGTTGAAGGGAATTAAGACATGCAAACCTCCAATTATATAATAAATAAGTCATATTATTAAATAATAAATAATATACAGCATAAGGAATATGGTCAATCATAATAACTAATGTACGGGGACAGAATGTTACTAGAGTCATCATGGTGATTATTTCCTATCATATGAAAATATCAACATTGTGTACATTTGAAACTAACATAATATTGTACATCAATTATATTTCAATAAAAAAATGCTTGGTAGAAAAAAATTTTTCTTAGAAATCTTAGAATTCTAAGTTGGACATTAAAACTGGAATTACCATTATCAACTTAATTTCCAAAACATTCAGGTTGTCACTAAAGCAGCCCTTCATTTGAATTTAGCTCAATTCTGACTTAACAACTTTTAGTATTGCACTGTAGTGAAAACACATCTAGTTCAACTAGATGGTAATGGTAATTATCATTGTATGGCATGAACAACTAGACATAGCCATCATGATTTAAGGGAGGTGTTATATGGAGGGATTCCATGGTGATAGAATGATGTTGTTTTATCACATCCATGTACTGCTTCACTCCAGCTTGAGCATACTCCCTCTAGGTGGCACTTACATTGTCTTGGGTTTCGGAGTATACCTCTGAGCACTTTTGAACTTTGGTCATAGAATGTTTCCAGCAAGGCCAATGTCCTCTGACGATCCAAAAACCCTACCTAAGCAGAAAGTTGGCAATCAGTTGTTACATGAGATTTGAAACTTTTACGTAGATGGAATATTGAAACTCCTAACTATACTTTTTAACCCCAAAATTCCGGAACTCCTACCTACAGCCAATACATACCTAAAAACAACGGCAAAAAGGGGGTTCAAAAAACAATGGGACAAAAAAACAATAATATGTCATATTTCACATTCACTACTAGGAGGTTACATTCAGATCTGCAGACAATCCAGAACAAATATTTAGGTCATTGTGGTATGCATTTACAGCTTTGTTCCCAACTTCATTTAGTATGCTCTTTTTCTTCTTTCATTGCCGGGAGCCGTTATGGGAGGTCCCACCCGTGACGAGGTCATGAAGAAAATACAAGGCAGGCAAGGCCGTCCAGGACCCCATCCATGACGAGGTCACGAGGATAAAACCTGACAGGCAAGGCCGTCTAGGATCAGGGACCCTCCAGGTTGGCCTCGGCCTCTACACCACCCTGTATCCTCCCCACTCTTCTGCTGTTGTTCTTGTTTGCCCTGCTGCGGATTCTTGTTTTGCCTGCTGAGAGCTCTCCTGCTCCTCTTTCACTGAATGAGGACCAACTTAAAACCCTAATTAATAAATCTCATGGATGCTGGTACCCTATGAAGGGGCCAGGGATGAAGGAAATGCTTCAATTCAAACCCTTTTGCTGGCATTCTGGCTTGTTTGATAAATACGTGCTCTCATTGCACAAAATGCTCATGATTGTTCTAAACATCCTAAGCACAGTACGCTAACAAAAGAAACTATTAAGCATAGGTCCCTCCGCAGGGTGAGAAAAGCCCCACAAATATTATAGCCACATATACGCCTAATAGAAAATAGTTTAGATAGAGATTAGCTGGTGACTTCTTGCAGGTAATTAACTTTTGGACTAAGAGTCTGTTTTGTGCCATATCTGCTGTTTTTGCAATCCTTTGCATTTCTGTTCTGTGAAAATGTAATCCTATCTAGTTCCCTTGGAGATGACACCTAATAGAAAGAAAATAGATTAACCACAAAAAAGACAGTGTCAGCTACTGAAGTTGCTTAAAGTTGCACCAGGTGCAAGCCATAAATTGTCAACAGGCCTGAGAGCCAAAAGATATTATACATAGAGATTAACCATAAAAAAGGCCCTAATAGGCACAGAGCCCTTTGGGGGATGAGGAAGCCCTATTAGAGAATGCAAAAAATATTGTTTTAAAAGTGGTTATTAGATCAACGTTTGATTGATGTTAATGTGCTGAGGTTGTGCAGTGGAAACTATTATTAATATAGTTAAAGATATAGTAAAATAAGAGTTTCTCCCTAGTGTAAAAACAATAAGATAATTGTTAATTTTAACCAGGAGTGCTAAACAGGGGCCGCCTCTCCAGAGCCACAGAGTCTTTGTTTAACAAAACTTTTCAGATAAATTTAGCTGAGAATTTCTGCAAAAAGACTGACTTTTATGTTAACAGGATTGTATTTCTACTATGTTGCAATTTGCTGTACCATGAGACTGCCACTTTTCTGTTTTCTGCTGAGCTCAAGGCCAGAAGATAATGTACAAAACATCTATGGGAAAAGACTCTCGTAAACAAAAATATACAGAGCACACCTGGTTTCCTGAGTGACAAGCTGATATAATGTTAAACTAAGTCTGTGTGCTTATCTGCCTCTTAGAAATGTACCAACTTAGGGAATAAAGGCTACGGTGAAAAATAAAGCAACTGCCAGACTCTGCCGCACCTTCCTGGTCTGGTCTCTCTCTCTTTCTTTCTCTCTCTCCCTTGCAGACTTGGCCATATCAAGGCTGGTCTCACATGTCTTCTCTCTCGCCGACGCTGTTCATCCTGAGGGTTCCCCTGGATCCTGCTGGGGCTGGACCCCGGCATTTCATCCTACATTTTAAAATCTATGTTCTTTTGTTGCTTTTTATCTATTCTTATAAGCTTCTTTATAAGGACTGATGCTAAAGCTGAAGCTCCAGTACTTTGACCATCTGATGTGAAGAGCTGACTCATTAGAAAAGATTCTGATTCTGGGAAAGATTGAAGGTAGAAGGAGAAGGGGATGACAGAGGATGAGATGGTTGGATGGCAGCACTGACTCAATGGACATGAGTCTAAGCAAGTTCTGGGAGATGGTGAAGGACAGGGAAGCCAGGCGGGCTGCAGTCCATGGGGTCACAAAGAGTCAGACATGACTAAGTGACTGAATAACATAACCTTCCTTAAATCTTTTCAGGAATATGGGGATACAAACAAATAAGCATAAGGTTCATAAACAAATATATTTCAGCAAAGTTGGAATCTATTTTTGCAAAGTCATTTGGTGTCCTAGCACAATAGTGCGTTCCTAAATTCCCTGATGGCTCAGTTGGTAAAGAATCTGCCTGCAATGCAGGAGACCCCAGTTCAATTCCTAGGCCGGGAAGATCCCCTGGAGAAGGGATAGGCTAGCCACTCCAGTATGGGCTTCCCTTGTGGCTCAGCTGGTAAAGAATGCACCTGAAATGTGGGAGACCTGGGTTCAATCCCTGGGTTGGGAAGATCCCCTGGAGAAGGGAAAGGGTACTCACCCCAGTATTCTGGCCTGGAGAATTCCATGGACTATATAGTCCATGGGGTCGCAAAGAGTCAGACACGACTGAGTGGCTTTCACTTTCACTTTCAAATCCTATACCTAGAAATACTTTTTTATATAAACGTTTCTTGTTTTTAAGAAGCAGAATAAAATGTGGTAGGCTTTCTATTCCCCAAAGAGAAAAGCAGCTCTTTTCTCTAGGAAGACAACAGCATAGACAATCCTAAGCAAAAAAAAAATCCTAAGCAACCCACTCTTAAAAACGGGAAAGAAACTTAGAGACAAGTTATAAATCATATGCAGTGCCACTCAAGATGTAGTCTGCAAGCTGGTACCAGTCTGTGTGTGATGAGAAAGGTAGGAATTGAAAATAGCATCTATAAAATGTTATAGCAACTTGAGAAAGTAACATAATAAATCAGATTTGAATTTGGTAGTAACACAATGTGGACTGTATTTTTTTTTTTTAATCAGTAGCTATTTATTAAAGTTGAAGAGAAGGGACTTCCCTGATTGCCCAGTGGTTAGGACTTTGCCTTCCAGTGCAGGGGGTGCAGGTTCGATCCCTGGTTGGGGAACTAAGATCTCACATGTCTTGTAGCCAAAAAGCAAAACATAAAACAGAAGCTATGTTGCAATAAATTCAATAAAGCCTTTTAAAAAAATGGTTCACATAAAAAAAAATCTTTTTAAAAGAAGTCAAGGGGAAAACCAAGAGAAATTGTAGGAACTGGTAAAACAAAAAAAAATTCAACATAAATCAGTAATTCACTTCCCTGTGTTTGTTAATAGCTCTTAGACTAGAATATGTTTGGATTGTATTTTTATTTTCTTTTTCCCTCTTAGTAATCCATTTTCATCATCAGTCCACATATTAAAAATATCACCATCAACAACCTAAAGACTGGTCCTTCGCAACAGATAGTGTGAGAAACACTGCTTTAAGAGGCTTCTCCTACCTTCCCACGGTCACAATGCAGGAAGAGTTCAGCAAACATCTGTCTCCGCATGTCAATTTTTATGATTTCCCTGAATTCTTCCGCACAATGGCAAAGGTGCTTAAGGAGCTTCTCAAACGTTTCACTTTTAAAGCCTGCAATGTGCAAAGAGACGAGCTGTGTAGAAAAAGAGGATAGGTGATTGATTAAAAACTGTATTCTTCGCTTGGATTTTTTCCCCCAAGGATTCCACTGATGTGCATGCAATTATTGGCTGCAATTTTTTCCATATCATCTGCTGTCACTTAGATAAAGCATTTTCAAATTAATGCTGTTCTATGGCTATGCTGCAGAGATAGGGGATCAATACAGTCCCCAACACCATAGACCAGTTACATACACCATAGACCAGTACACACTGTTGGAACAGTTTCCCTCTAGGTCACATCAGTGTTATATGGGAGAAGTTGTTAACCTCACGGTATGAAACAGCAGCAGTCATAAAATGTGGCCAGTAAATGAATAGTTCTTCAAATGGAATGCAGTTTTTCTTTTGATGTAGGGGATATAAGAGCATGTGTTTTCGTTTTCCAAGACTGGCTACATTTAATTACTGGCATGTAAGGCACGGGGATGGCTTCCAAGGTGGCTCGGAGGTAAAGAATCATCCTGCCAATGCAGAAGATAAAGGAGACATGGGTTCAGTCCCTGGGTTGGGAAGATCCCCCGGAGGAGGGCATGGCAACCCACACTGGTATTCTTGTCTGAAAAATCTCATGGACACAGGACTGGTAGGGTAGAGTCCATGGGGTCACAAAGAATCAAGCACAACTTAGAGACTAAATGATAACAACAAATCCTTTGTCTATGATTTGTTTTTTCTTTTGAATATCTGTGCTCTTAGGTTATACCTCTTGAGGCCTGGTGAATAGAATCCCAGACGTGAGATTGTTTGCTTAGAAGTAAATGCATCTGGGGTCTTCCCTGGTGGTCCAGTGGCTAAGACTCCAAGTCCCCAATGCAGGGAGCCTGGGTTCAGTCCCTGATCAAGGAAACAGATCCCATAGGCAGCAAATAAGACCTCACATGCCGCAACTAAAGATGCTGTGTGCTACAACCAAGACCCAGTGCAGCTAAATAAATAAACATTAATAAAAAGAAGGTAAACGCTTCTGTATTTTTTGGTGGGTTTTGATATCAGGCTTGTATAGCCTTTTTCACTCTCACTTTTTGCACTCCCACAACTAATTTATGAGTGGTCATTTCTCCTCAGCCTCAACATCAATGTGTATGACTTTCCAGATTTCTGCTAATTTGACAGATCAGGAATATTACAATCTTGTTCTATCCTTGACTATAAGTATCTCAGTGAGTTTCTCAGTGGGATCCTCTTTAAGTGTTAACCCACTTCTTTCTCTGAACCAAGCAAAGAGATAGCCAAATTTGTACAGAATGACCCTGCTTCCATAGCTAGATTTCCATTTTTCACTTCCTCCTTTAATATCATCTAGGCAAATTTAGGATGTATTATGTAAGAAATATGACTTGAATCCATATTAGTGAATCATAAACCATCCTTCAACTGGCTTAGAGATCAAAAGAGGGAAATTTAAAGCAGAGCAAAGGAGCTTTTCTAAATATTTCATTTCCTTAACAGCTTCTTGATGGGTTAATGAGCACAGTTAAGTTCTCATTTGTTGCCTTGGGAAGCAGAGTAGTGTATAGGTTAAGACCTCACATTTTGTCCGGGTTCAAGCCTCAGTTCCTATATTTACTGGCTGAGTAACCTAGGATGAGGGAAGATACCCTGGAGAAGGAAATGGCAACCCATTCTAGTATTCTTACCTGGAAAAACCCATGGACAGAGGAGACTGGCAAAAGAGTCTGACACGACTTAGCGACTAAACAACAACCATCACCTTGAATGAGTCACTGGACTTTACAGTCCCTTAATTTGTTTCCTTAATAGCTATCACAGTAGCTATTTCACTGGGTCATGAAGAGGCTCCTTTTTATAAACAAAGCATAGGTATTTCATGCATTAAGTTCTGTGAAGTCTTGTTTCCTTTTGAACTAGGTAAAGAAATTGATGGAGAAGGTTTTCTTTATTAAATAAAAGTCCTCTCAGCTGACATTCACATTTTAAAAGGAAAAATCCAACGAGATCAGTGGTTCTCAAAGTGTGGTCCCTTGAGAACTTGTTAGAATTGAAAATTTAGGGGCCCTACTCCAAACCTACTGAATCAGAAACTCTGGGGTGAGACCTAGAATCTATGTTTTTAGAAGTCTTCTGAGTGATTCTTTCGCTTAAACTCACTGAAGTTTGAACTAGATGGTCTGGGGAAACTGGTCCTAATTATACCAGCATTCTAAGATCCTACTGTTCAGTCTTCAGTCAATTTTTCTTGAATAGTAGATACTTTTCTAAATTATTGGTAAGGTAGAATTATTAAATAATTGATATTTCTGGCAATATTGTGGCTCTGTCTTCTAAAGCTGAAATAAAAATTACTGATTCATGAAAAGATTCCTCTTGTTGGGACTTTGCTGGTGGTCCATGGGGGATGCAGGTTTGATCCCTGGTCAGAGACTAAGATCCATCATGCTACTGCTGCTGCTGCTGCTAAGTCACTTCAGTCGTGTCCGACTCTGTGCGACCCCATCCCTGGGATTCTCCAGGCTACGCATGGCCAAAAATAGAGAGGGAGAGAAAAAAAGATTCATCTTGTTTTGTATTAAGTTTTTGGGAACTGACCTCAAAGCCATATGAGTTTTATGGCTGTGGGAATGCTATCAAATCAAGAATTAGTTTAACTGTTTCTCCGAGACACATTTGAACATTCTAGATTTAGAGCCTATGGATTTTGTGAATGAGCATGTTCTGTAAGCATGGGCTGTAAGACAGGAAAGACTACCAGATGCCAATTGAACTACATATCAAATTCCGAATAGAACAATTACAACAGTCTGCCAGTGTCTCTTGTAAAAACAAAAAAGTGAAAACATATGGTAGCCTTTGTGTTTTTACATCCTCCCAAGGAAGGAATCAATTAATACCCATAAATCCTGACATGACTGCTTAGATGAATTTAGGAATTTGATTAACTACTAAACTGTTTAATCACTTTTTGAGCTGTCAAACATTTGATCTGTGCTCAGTCATGTTGTCTGTATGTACTGGATCCCAACGTAATGAATTCTAGGCTTTTCATTTCTGACAGGAAAATCACAATGTTGAGGATGCGGTAAATGTCATGTTTAAGAGGTTGGTAGTTATCGTTACATTTTACAGCCTTGGGATTCACACGCTTAATTATAGACATATAGGGGAGTTCATGAAGTGGGTGATCTGAGAGCAACAGTAAGAAACTGTGTTTGGAAACTATGTTAGGTATTAACTTCCAAACAGTATTTGTAAGCTTTGGTAGTAAATAACATTTCAGAAATGTCTGCAAATAAGAACTAGAGAATATTGAAATACACAGTGTATTTGCTGTCTATCATTGAAGAAGTGGTGTGTTCATATAGCACGTGGAATCTAGAAAAATGGCACTGATGAACCTATTTGCATAGCAGAAATAGAGACTCAGACATCGAGAACAAGTGTAGAGATACCAAGCGGGGGAGGAGGGTGGGATGAAGTGGGAGACTGGGACTGACATGTGTACGCTGCTATGAATGCAGTAAGTAACTAGTGAGAGCCTACTGTCTAGCACAGGCAGCTCTCTCTGATGCTCTCTGGTGATCTGGAGGAGAGGGATATCCAGGAGGGAGGGGACATGTGTATACATATGACTGATTCACTTTGCCGTATGGCAGAAACTAGCACAGAGCTGTGAAATAACTTTATACTCCAATAAATTTAAAAAAAATATGACCGTTTTAAAATTTGTATAGGGAACACAATATCTACTTGAACAACTCACTGTAAAAATGATGCAAATGCTAAGTTTTGCCTCTTAGACAGTTGTCTCACGGGAGCCAGAGTGCTCTGAGAATTTAAAATGAACTTGACACACTCCCAAAATATATTTCTTATGAGTCTAAATATTCTATTTATAATCAAAACAATCTCAAATAAACTAGCACATTTTACATTTAAAATTGTTCCTGTCAATGTACACACCGCTATATTTAAAATGGGTAAACCAACAAGGACCCACTATATGCCACAGGGAACTCTGTTCAATATTATGTAGTAATGTAAATGGGAAAAGAAATTGAAGAAGAATAGACACATGTATATGTATAACCAAATCACTTTGCTGTACCCCTGAAACTAACACAACATTGTTAATCAACTATACTCCAATATAAGATAAAAATGTAAAAGAAATCATTCCTGTCAATAAAGAAATATTTAAAGCATTGTTCTTAGTGTTCTTTCTAAAGTAAGGAACTACAAGGTGGAGATACATAAGTAGAAGAAATTTAAAACTCATGAACACTAGAAAACTTTCCTACATGAACCCTGGTCCACTGAAGTCTCACTTTTATTCTACTGTGTATCCCTCAGCACCATGATAAAAAGATAATAGTATAACTCATAATGTTTTGCACACGTTCATTGCTTTGTAATTGTCTTTTTGTGGCATGTGTTCTTAACTTGGGGACTTCCCCAAGGGCTCAGCAGGTAAAGAATCCACCTGCAACACAGGAGACTCGGGTTCGATCCCTGGGTCAGAAAGATCCCCGGGAGGAGGAAATGGCAACCCATTCCTGTGTGGGAAATGCCATGGACAGAGGAGCCTGGTGGGCTACAGTCCATGGGTCGCAAAGAGTCAGACACGACCGAGCACGCATGCACATCCTTAGTTTGCTTATATTTTGATTCTTCCATTCCATGTACCCTACTCTGGCTTCATCCAGTGTATGTATGCACATGTGCACACACATACACACGTGGACATAAATGCCTGCCTATACCCACAGGCACACTCCCATGCAACAATGCATTATTTGATCCTTAAGTGTAAGAAATACAACTCGAATTTTGAGCTCTGTTCTAGCACAGAAAGTAAATAGTATATACTTAAGAAGTAACAGGCCAGAAGTAAATGTTCTAAAATAGCTATTTTTGGTCTTCATTTACTGGAATAAAACAGATGAAAAGAGAGATTGTGGTCAACAAAAAGATCATCATCTGTTCATTTACCCACCAGAATACAGAAATGCTA